TCCTGCTTGCGACCTCCCAAGACTGCCATCCTTTTTGGTGACAACCACGAGTTTGCACCGCCTGCCATGTGCTCTGAGAGTCTGTTCCTTCCACTGGCTGAACCAATGGCAGCCCCACTTCACCCTCTCCCCGTTATAAAGAAAGTGGCAACTACAGTGCTTTCCGCGTTGGATGTCATGGTGTCCGTAGCCCGGCGTCTTTTCATCTGGGAGGAAAATGCAACTGCTGGCGAAAGGTGTGTGTTTTGAAGACGAAACCTGAGTCAGTTTTTTCCACCCATAGCCATGTACTCCCGGGAAACTCACAATGACTTGTTCACCTTCGCGGAAGTCTTCCGGCTCTGTTCCATAGAATGGAATTCGATCGGTCTGGCTTGCGCTTTCCTGGACAATCTTTGCAATCTCGGCATTGGAACTGGCTAAGGTATCCGCGTAGCGGAGTTTTGCTGTAATCTTTGCAATCTCGGCATTGGAACTGGCTAAGGTATCCGCGTAGTACAGTTGAGCTGACTTAGAAGCCCCACCGCCCATTGCGACACCAGGTGCGATGTGTCGCCGAACTACTTGCCTGAAACAGCCAAAACTACAGTAATACAATGTTTCTCTGCTCTGGACTCTGCTGCCACAAGTGGGTTCTCTGCTCGAAAGATGTACGCCCTAAGCTTCTAAGGCCCAACTCTGTTTCACAACTATAACCATGAAACATCTATCTACAACCTTCGATACAGCATACTCTGTTTGCCACCATGAACAACAACATGATACTACATAGAGATAGATTCCACAACAACAACAACAAAAAGACACATACTTCATACATGACGAAGGAAACCATGACAAATAAAATTACGGTGGAAAAAGATGAAAGAGACAAAGGTCAAAATTATTGATGAAAATCACCAGAAATTCACAAGATGCTGAGGATAAACCAAACAAAAACGGTTTTAGAAGTAGCAGGTGAACTTGACAACAAAAAAACGCCCGAGAACGGACTCAAAAATTCACCAGAGACAATGTATTTAGGTAGGCAGAAGACCAACATAAAACCCAGAACACCCACCCGTTTTTTGGAGAAAGCATTGAAAATCAATAACCTTAGCAAGTAACATAGCAAACAATCCCTAGAACCGCCCGTTTACCATTGTTTTCCCAGATTTGCTATGGTAAATAAAAAAAATGTACCATACATGGGTAAATCTCCATCAAATCCCCAATATCGTTGGGTAAATCCCTACTAAATCCCAATTTGCTTCCCTCTTTTCACAGCAGGGCCCCCAACCAAGCCCCCCAACGCTCGTTGAACAGGACCATCCCAAGAAGTCCTGTCGCAAGCCATGGGGATGAAAAGAACTATCCTAGCCCAGTTTACTGATACTGGTTGGTTGATGTGCGATATGTATTCCTAGTAGCCTTACCAAACCAAGTATATCAGCAGAAATTTACCACGCATGTCACCCTTAACTTCCCATTATACCCAAAAACCCACGTTTGCTGGGTAAAGCTTTACCAAATCCCCATGGAATCTCAGCAAAAATCCATGGTAAAATCACCATGCTTGGTGGTCAAACCGTCATTGTTTCTGATGGGCTGGGCCCCACCGGAAATGTCCTATCGGCTCGTCCTCAGTGAGGGCTTACTCAGATCAGTGGAGAAGTCGAGTTATAGTGGGAATATCATGGGTGTTTCTGTGGGAAACCTGCCATAAACCTACCGGGGATGAGATTTACCACCTGTGGTGATGACTTGGGCATTGATTTTTCTTGGGCTTACCACATTAGTAAGATTTAATGTGATGTCATTGAAATATTTCATGTGTGTGTGTGTGTGTGGGTCGTTCGGGTGCTGGAAATTGACAGCCTTAACATCTGGTAGTCGTGATGATAGTGAACGTGTTTTTCCCATTAAAACTTTACCATAAATGGTGAACATGGTCATGATAGTGGTTATGAAAGTGATGTGCCGTTCTTAAATCAAAGGACAGGTGAAATTGGCATCAAAGGTACATGGTTCATCAATTTTCAGTAGGACCAGAAACTGAGACTTGATCATCCAGTGGTGTAGCATTTTATGACCCATGCACTTGGACCAGTTCTTGGACTGGAGGTAATCGAATGACAGCTTGACTCAGTGCATTTGTTGCGGCAAAAAAGAAACCATCCCAGGGACAGTAACAATCGGGATGTTCTATCCCAGACTATCTAAAAATTCAGTGATGCGCTGCTCCTTGCCCAGACAGCACAACAGGCGACGGAATATCACCAACAGTAAATGCAATGTTTTATTTTTTAAAGAACAACTTGTCTATATATTCCACCCTCACAATCCCAAGCAGTAGACCAAAAACAGTGCTCACCCCTCTGAACCAAGCAGGATGAGTGAAAGGGGCTCGGGTAATAAAGATATGTCCATGTGTGTCACTATGTGACTCTATCTGTCCCAAGGGTTGGAAATCCTACCAAACAAAAAACAAAAAAAGAATGATGATTTCATGAAATCAAATCTCAAGAGTTTGGTTGATGAGCTGTTCATCAAATAGTTTTAGAGCAATTAATCTTAGGTGACCACGTGCTGGGACCTCCACAATGTCAACTTCCAGGCTGTCTTCATAACCTCGGAATGGCAAAACTGGCATTGCTGTCAAGGGCAGTCGGGGTAAAGACTGTTGGGTGTCCCAAAATCACAGCTGACACAAATGCTGACAAAGCTGCTGACTCAGAAGTGCTTGTTTTCACCTCTCATGATTGTAAAGTCTGTGCAGTCCGCACGGCTTTGACCGGTACGGATGGTTTTGGAGGAGTATGCGAATCTTCACATTTGATGACAGCAAAAGCAAATTGAAACAGCATAGGTTGTGGCTGATTTTTCCTGAATGTGGGAGATGCATAACTTGTAAGGATTGGCATCTAGCATGCGCTCGCGCATGTTGTGATGCTTGCAAAATAATTCGCGTGGCAAGTAACTTTGGTCCAGGATGTGATCTTCGAACGGAACCGGGCCCGTCGACATGCCAAAACGAACCCGGGCAGTATAAAGGGACCTTCGCAATATAAACCTTTACACCGCCAACGTCAATTTTGGCACATCGACCGGTCACTTTTGGCACGTCGACGGGTCACTTTTGGCACGTCGACGGTCACTTTTGGCATGTCGACGGGCCGTTACTATTTTACTATTTTCCAGCACGCAGCCTGTCCAATACTACTTTGATTAGGGTTTCGCAACTTTTTCCATTTTATAAGGAATTTGAGACTTTCTCTCTCTTTCAATACCAATCTAAAGAGGAATCTTGTTTTGGCATCGCCCAGGTCACTTTTGGCACGTTGACGCGTCACTTTTGGCATGTCGACGGGCCATAACTAATTTACTCTTTACTATTTTCCAGCCCGCAGCCCGTCCAATACTACTTTGAATAGGATTTCGCCAATTTTTCACTTTTCCCCACTACTTTTGGCATTGCCCGGGTCACTTTTGGCACATCGACGGGTCACTTTTGGCACGTCGACGGGTCACTTTTGGCATGTCGACGGGCAGTTACTATTTTACCATTTTACTATTTACTATTTTCCAGCCCGCAGCCCGTCCAATACTACTTTGAATCGGATTTCGCCAGTTTTTCCCCTTCCTACCGAATTGGAAACCTTCTCTCTCTTTCAAAACTAATCTAAAGAGGAATCTTGTTTTGGCATCGCCCACGTCACTTTTGGCACGTCGACGGGTCACTTTTGGCACGTCGACGGGTCATTTTTGGCATGTCGACGGGCAGTTACTATTTTACTATCTACTATTTTCCAGCCCGCAGCCCGTCCAATACTATTTTGACTAGGATTTCGCCACTTTTTCCTTTTCCCTACTATTTTGAAAGAAATTTGAAACTCTCTCTCTCTCTCTCTCTCTTTCAATACCAATCTAAAGAGGAATCTTGTTTTGGCATCGCCCAGGTCACTTTTGCGTCGACGGGTCACTTTTGGCACGTCGACGGGTCACTTTTGGCATGAGGAAGGGCCGTAACTAATTTACTCTTTACTATTTTCCAGCCCGCAGCCCGTCCAATACTACTTTGACTAGGATTTCGCGAATTTTTCCCTTTTCCCTACTGCATCCTAAGGAATTTGAGACTTTCTCTCTCTTTCAATACCAATCTAAAGAGGAATCTTCTTTTGGCATCGCCCAGGTCACTTTTGGTGCGTCGACGGGTCACTTTTGGCACGTCGACGATCACTTACTTTTTGGATGTCGAGGGCCGTTATACTATTTTACTATCTACTATTTTCCAGCCCGCAGCTCGTCCAATACTACTTTGAATGGGACTTCACGGCATTTTTCCTTTTCCCTACTACTTTGAGAGAAATTTGAAACTCTCTCTCTCTTTCAATTTTAATCTGAAGAGGAAACTTGCTTTGGCACCGCCCAGGTCACTCTTGGCACGTCGACGGGTCACTTTTGGCACGTCGACGGGTCATTTTTGGCATGTCGACGGGCCGTTACTATTTTACTATTTACAAATTTTCCAGCCCGCAGCCCGTCCAATACTACTTTGAATAGGATTTTGCAACTTTTCCCCTGTTCCGTACTACTGTCTCGGGAAATTGAAACTTTCTCTCTCTTTTAAAACTAATCTAAACAGAAATCTTGTTTTTGGCATCGCCCACGTCACTTTTGGCACGTCGACGGGTCACTTTTGGCACGTCGACGGGTCACTTTTGGCATGTCGACGGGCAGTTACTATTTTACTATTTGTTATTTTCCAGCCCGCAGCCCGTCCAATACTACTTTGACTAGGATTTCGCCACTATTTCCCTTTTCCCTACTGTCTCCCTGTTTCAATACCAATCTAAAGAGGAATCGGAATCTTGTTTTGGCATCGCCCAGGTCACTTTTGGCACGTCGACGGGCCACTTTTGGCACGTCGACGGGTCACTTTTGGCATGTCGACGGGCAGTTGCTATTTTACTATTTACTATTTTCCAACCCGCAGCCCGTCCAATATTATTGCTCTCATCTCAGAAGATTCTTAAGTGTTCGACAGAATCAGCAATCTGATCAGCAACGCCTTCAGCATTCTGCATCCGCCGGTCGTCTATGTACACGAGACCGTTTGTGAACACGAGTTTGTTCTGCCAGGCCCCTTTTTCATTATCAGTTGGCGCCGGCGGCCACACTTCACAAAGTCTAATTGGAATGAGAAGCAACTCTTTGTCATGAGCGAATTCCAGCTCATAAAACGTCTCATATCCAACTCCAGTGTACGCTCCGTATTCCGCGGTACAAAAAGCAACCATGCCTTTGGCACGGCCCAGACCCATGCGCGTTAGCTCAGCGAAACTTTGGCCGGGCTTTGCCTCAACCATGAAGGTCGGCACGCCACGAACCGCCAACCGGGCCCCCACCATCCTCATGTAGCCCATGATCCTCATCGGTCTGGAAGCGTGGCCCACATGAATATGTTGGGCACTCATCTTCATGCCAGTGGAAAAACCAACAGCCAGAACATGTTTTAAGGCGATGCGAAATTCTGAATGCATGCGAAGATTGCAGAGGGAAAACTTCGAGTATTACTTACATTCTAAGAGAAATCTCAGTTGAGAGTCTGCTCGGCGGTAAAAATGCCGTCGCTCTTGAAACGGCCACTTAGAAGCAAATGCCCTTCAGGCTGTGATGCTTGTACCTGAGAAGCGCGAGTATTGAAACAGAAAGAATAATTTTCTGAAGGTTAAGCAACCCAGTAAGATTAAAACGTATCTATAATCAAATTGTCTACGATGGTGTTATTGGGAAATAGTTCCTTACTTTCCATGTGATAGAGTTGTTTGATCCAACAAGCCGCCCATCAACAAATATACCAAAAGAATCACACTAAACATACTTACGCACCAGTGTCGCACAAGGAAATAAACTTTTGCAGTCGATTATGGGGCAGCTGACTTTGATTTGGGGACATCACTGTTACATCTGAATTGAACCATGTATTTCTTTATATCCTAGTGCTCCCCATAGTTAGAACTCCCTGGGAAGTAAAACTGTATGTTATTAATTAGTACAAGATAGTACAAGTGCGACATTTGTTATACAGGAGAGGCCCGCGCACACCCGGACCTGGAATCTGAAAGCAGCACTTGGACCAAAACCATGCTAAGTTAATCAACAATATCGACATACGAACGTGAATCAACATGTGCTCGCCGAAGAGGTTCCTAAAAATACTAATAAGAATCAAATTCCTTCACTAAGAGTCCATTGTCCAATCGTGTCAAATCTGTAGCGTCGCTCCAATACAAACATCAATTTAAAAGCACTTGGCGAAGAAGTTCCCTCATAAGCGCCTTTTTTAGTTTATATCCAACCAAGGTCAAGCACAATTTGCTGCCTGAAGAGACACCCTACTCAGGACCAAGGTATCTACTAAAAACTTTACATATATGAGTCACATTTTGTATCAACCTAATTTAAAGCCTCAAACACATGGTCGTTTTTATTTCACCATGTTACCAGCTAGGGTCAATAATGACATTAGCCAGGACTCAGTTTGAAATTGAAATATCTGATGGAAACCTTGAAAATGGCAAAAACCATTACCAGCAGATATATAATTTCTATTTTTTGACTAAAGGATTTTGAATGAAACCCATGCATATTTATAACCACGTATAGTCGTATAGATAATTCACTACAATAAGCTCCGAAAAAATACAGCGACTTACTTTATGCTCCACATATATAGCTATTTCTCTGTGATTTATCTTGAACATAGCTATGTACGTTCTGTTCTGCAAACATTTTCATGTACCCAGCATGCACTGTTCACATTCCAAATGCCCACGCGAGCAAGAAGCGTTAATCCATTTTCATGGTTAGGTAGACCGATTTTACAACCCCAAGGTCCTCAAAGTCAGGATCCTAGATTATTTGCCATGGCGGCTGGTACAGCTTAAATTTCACATTGGGAAACGAACATGCAGCAGGGAATCATGGGTAGTCATGCATCACCAGATTTATGGATTTCCGCCGAAAAAAAAACAAGATCAGCAGAACTCAGGCGCACATTTTGTGATGTTGAGTTCCGCCGAAAATATTTTTTCAGCAGAAATCCCAGGCAAAACCATTGAATCAGCAGAAGTCCACTACACAAAACCAGAAGATGAGTTCCGTCGAACCATAGGTCTGAATACTAAGTTCCGCCGAATATTTTTTTTCAGCAGAAGTCAGGTACACAATTTGTGTAGTGGAGTTCCGCTGAAAAACAAGAAAAACTAAAGTCCGCAAAAAAAATTGCAATCGATTCGGGGTCACAGGGTCCCAATTTTCCGCCGAAAAAAAAATCAGCAGATCTCATGCCCCATAATCGGCCGCAACAGAAAAATGGTCCACAAAGTCTGCAGAGATTTGTTTGGCAAACTAATCTGAGACTTCAATGCAAAGTTCTGAGCCCCAGACATTACCCTACTTATTGGCCGTGGGTGGCACATGTGATCGGGAGGAACTTGCCTGGGTAACCCTTAGAAAATCGTGTGGACTTGGTGATGGGCAATAACCACATTACCATGGTCTGGCCCCATGCTTTTTGAAAGCTCCAGTGGACAGAGGGTTTAATTTAAGTATTAGTCAATGCTCAAATCCACCCAAATAGTCAAAAACATGTTAAAGCATGTTAAAAGTAGGTAAAGAAAAAAGAATTGTAATTATAGTACAAGTGCGACATTTGTTATACGGGAGATGTCCGCGCACACAAGGACCTGGAATCCGAAAGCAGCACTTGGACCAAAACCATGCAAAGTTAATCAACAGTATCGACATAAAAAAGGAAATCAACATGTGCTCGCCGAAGAGGTTCCTAAAAGTACTAATAAGAATCAAATTCCTTCACTAAGAAATCTATTGTCCAATCATGTCCAATCTGTAGCGTCGCCCCAATACAAACATCAATTAAAAAGAACTTGGCGAAGAAGTTCCCTGATAAGCGCTTTTTTAAAGTTTATATCCAACCAAGGTCAAGCACAATTTGCTGCCTGAAGAGACACCCTAATCAGGACCAAAGTATCTACTAAAAACTTTACACATATGATTCACATTCATTTTGTATCAACCGAATCCAAGCCTGAAACACATGGCATCTTTTACCATTTCAATCCAGTTCGCCATTTAAGGTCAATAGTAAAGTTGTAGTAAATGTTATATTGAAATAATAAGGGGAAAACCTTGAAAATTGTGAAAACAACTGCTGGCAAATATAGTTTCGATTAACTTCAGAAAACTTACCAAGAGCATGAAGGGGTGAAAGGGAACTACCCATTGAATCAAACTTAAATTTGGATGATCTATGACCCATGATCTAGATCCTGAGACCCCAATTCGATTGGAAAAGTTTAAATGCTACCGCCACTATTACCACTGATAGGAGTTCCGGAGATGGGCCTTCAACTCCTAAAGCCTGAGGTCCAAACAGACTGCACCCGCGGCGAAGACGCATGGCCACTGGCAGAACTTGACGCAGCAGGGCTTGGACCAACCTGCAGTGCAAGATGCAAGAAATCATTGTCGGAACGCCCGGCCTTGACAGAATCATATTTGGTCTGAGCTAAATGGGGATTCCCAAGACTTGAAACAACCCAACCTCTCTTGATGTTCCTATCAGGGCTGCGTTTGCGTTTTCATTTGCCAACTACTGCTGCGCCTCTGGGGCCGATGGACCTGAATTCGCCTGAATATAACCGCCGTTTGGGCGGCTGTTTGGGCGGCGCGGAAATCTCGGGGCCTCGAGGTGTAAGACGCCCAGTCTTTGCATGAATTGAATTGTTTTTCCACATAAATGAGCTACCAGGTACCATCAAAGAGTTCTTGCTGGCAACTGACGGGATACACAACCAACTCCATGGACAGCACTCACTGACATGGATATTCGCTAGGCTGCACCCAGCCACCGGTGTGCCTGTGTGTTCGGTGGACGTGGTTTCAGCCCCAGTTCCCCAAAGTCAAAAGTGTCTCCGTCAATCGTCACCAGATTTATGGATTTCCGCCGAAAAAAAAACAAGATCAGCAGAACTCAGGCGCACATTTTTTGATGTTGAGTTCCGCCGAAAATAATTTTTCAGCAGAAATCCCAGGCAAAACCATTGAATCAGCAGAAGTCCACTACACAAAACCAGAAGATGAGTTCCGTCGAACCATAGGTCTGAATACTAAGTTCCGCCGAATATTTTTTTTCAGCAGAAGTCAGGTACACAATTTGTGTAGTGGAGTTCCGCTGAAAAACAAGAAAAACTAAAGTCCGCATGCAATCGATTCGGGGTTCCCAATTTTCCGCTCAGCAGATCTCATGCCCCATAATCGGCCGCAACAGAAAAATGGTCCACAAAGTCTGCAGAGATTTGTTTGGCAAACTAATCTGAGACTTCAATGCAAAGTTCTGAGCCCCAGACATTACCCTACTTATTGGCCGTGGGTGGCACATGTGATCGGGAGGAACTTGCCTGGGTAACCCTGGTGTGGACTTGGTGATGGGCAATAACCACATTACCATGGTCTGGCCCCATGCTTTTTGAAAGCTCCAGTGGACAGAGGGTTTAATTTAAGTATTAGTCAATGCTCAAATCCACCCAAATAGTCAAAAACATGTTAAAGCATGTTAAAAGTAGGTAAAGAAAAAAGAATTGTAATTATAGTACAAGTGCGACATTTGTTATACGGGAGATGTCCGCGCACACAAGGACCTGGAATCCGAAAGCAGCACTTGGACCAGCGTGGGGACCTTGAAGAGGTGTTGAGGTCTTTCAATCAGGGTTATAGGGCGAAGAAGTGCCAAAGTCTAGCAGTGCCTGGGCCACAGGACCAAATCGCGAAATCCTCGCAATTCAATCTTCATCAATAGTCTTGCTTGACGGGATACTCCACAGCACTCACTGACATGCGCTAGGCTGCAGCCACCGAAAGTTCCCACAAAGTTTGTCAACCTTTGCCACTGCATGCAAGCAAGTTTTTGGAAATTGAAAACAAAAAGCAACGCAAAAGAAACACATGCACACGTTAGCTTAAAGTCAAGGGTCTCAACACTGAAGGACATCTTCGATGGCGTGTCCAACTTGGGCGAAACTAGCGGAAAACGGTGGAACCGCATTTTCAGCTGGATACATCCAGCGCCGGGGACCTTGATGTTGAGGTTTTCATCAGGGTTATAGGTGCCAAGTCTAGCAGTGGGGCCACACTCGCGAAATCCTCGCAATTCCTCATCGTCGTTGCCTACAGTATTGCTAAGCAGAAAGCAAGTTTGAACAACGGATGCAAAAGACCCGGTTGGACCAAACAGTTCTTCAAAGGTAGCCTGGAGTTCAAAAGCAAGCAGGTGAATCGACCTATTCAGGGTCCAGGAACAATATTGGTTCAGAACAGATCTGCATCCCTCGCATCCCACGTGCGTCACCGCCAGCTTCGCCACAGGCTGGTCGAGCTTTATGAAACCCATGGCTCTGATAGCGCATCGGCCGCTGACAATTACATCGCAGAAGTGCCTCAAAACGGGGCGGCATGGGGCGGCCCTCTGCGCCTTGTGATTAGATTGCTTAGGGCGCCCCACCAACTTATGAGGAGAGCGCATTGACCATTGCGGGATGGAAATTTCTTGCGCACTTGAATGCGGCAAAACCCGTGGCATGGCATGGGTTGAACATAAATATCACGATCATCATCTGACCTTCTCTTGGCACACAATTGTTAGGGCAACTTGAGTGAAGATTGACCCTTCCCAATCGCCTCAGAACCAGGATGGCGCGATCACGGACTAAACCTGGGATGACACTTGCCAAAAAAGCGCGACAGCCGCAACTAGCAAGAAGTCACAAATAAGGCATGAAGGTTAAAACAAAGGCGAAACAAGTAAAAAGGCAGAAATGGTACTTCATGCGTCACTGCTTCGTTTGTTTTAAACAGCTATGGAAAATATGCATGGAGAAACATAGCAATACCAGTCAAGAACCAAAACCCCAGTGGAACAAAAGCATTTCTTGGCTTTGTTCCTCAAGGAACTGGAAGGGGCTGCTGGCAACTTGCTTTAGAAACCCTAGATCGAATTTAAGCATTTCACGCTTGAAGCCTGGTTGAACGGAAAAGGAAACAAGCTTAAGTCAGTGGCCCGCGCGTCAGCTAACGAGGGTTCGCGCTGCTGTATGTATTTATAATGGTTCTTTGCCTCTGACGGGGATTTGCTCAGCTGCCGCTGCCCTACCCCATTTCTTCCTTGCACCCTTCAGCCACTCTTGTCTTCTTCAGCCACTCTTGTCTTCCCATTTCCTTGTGTCCTTCTTTTCCCATGCTTCTATCCAAGCAGTTTCTACACGATCGTCTCTCCATAACCAACAAATTTCGCGCAAAATCCCTTTTAAACCTAGCAGCGGTTAAACCGTGTCCCTACGCCAAGCAACTTGTAGAGCAAAACTGTATACAGCCCTCGATCTTTACACTGACAGGGTTTTAAATCCTTTGCAAGCATGCCCCAGAAAAAGTCAGAGTAAAACGGCAACATGGCAAACTTCAAGGTTTTTAGACCTTAGCCGCCCCTTAGCCCAAAGCTATCCACCTTCCTGCATCGCAGACAAGAAACTGATCTCCACGTTCTCCCACACGGTAGCAGTTGATCGCCATGCACTCTCAGCGCCACTACATGTGGGCACTTCCACCTGTCAATGCTTTTGGACGTTTGGGTGCAAAGAAATTCCAGCGCAGACATGCTGGTGTGAAGGAAATGAAAACGAAACTGAACACAACATGCAAGAAGGACACTTGTGCACCCATGTCCCAAGCAACAGGCAGGGGATGTGCTGGATTTCAACATTGTGCGCCGATTGACATCAAACAAACTCACTGCGTAAATCAGCCCGCCTCTATTGGCGTTGGAAAAGCCACCCCTTCAGGCGTAAGTCTGAGTAGTGGACTTAACACTGTGTGGTGGGGTGGCATTACCTGAGCAGAAGGAGAGAGAACCAATTTCAAGTTCAAGGTCGTTTCAAGTGCTGCATTCCTTGCCTCTGGATCTGCAAATGAGACACCTCCAGCAATGAACGGGAACCCCTCAGATCAGCCCAATCATCAAGCAACTCGACCCTTGGGCGGAACGTCTCGTATATGGACTTCTTCATCCGTAAGGTAATCCCGCATTGCTTCACCGTCACAATTGAATGGTCCTGGAGGCAACAGCGAACTTTTCAGGAAGGTTCGTCTGTACTATTTGTTCTTCCAGTAATCGTTGTTTCTTTTCCAGACTCAGAGTAGCAACTGTGACAGATTGCTATCATGACAAGTGAAACCGTTGTGTTGAACAATGACAACTAATCAAATATGTTCCTGTCTACAGACTTGCATGATGACTGCCGGGTGTAAATTCTATATTTTAAACCTTTCGGTTCGTCGGACATGGCGCAAAGCTACCATATATTTAATATCGGCACATGGACCCTGAGAAAATGAAAAATCTATTCATGACGGCGTTTTTATGTGCATGCTTCGTTTTTCCTGCTTGGACAAAAACAAATGGGTGCCAAATTGTTTGGGGAACATGCGTGGTTTTTTTCCTGTTTCGATCTTGGGGCTAGGATTCTGCAGGAACGGCCGCGCAAGGGCCGTGCTTTCTCCACTTTAGCTGCCATTCGTAGTTTGCGCTACGAATGCTACTGTTTGTGGCCGCACTTGGGTTTATTTAAGGTTGGGAACCGGGTCCGTCGACATGCCAAAACGAACCCGGGAAATATAAAGGGACCTTCGCAATATAAACCTTTACACCGCCAACGTCAATTTTGCCACGTCGACCGATCACTTTTGGCGCGTCGACGGGCCACTTTTGGCACGTCGACGGCTTCTTTTGGCATGGCGACAGACCGTTACTATTTTACTATTTACTATTTTCCAGCCCGCAGCCCGTCCAATGCTACTTTGAATAGGATTTCGCCACTTTTTCCCGTTTCCCTACTGCTTCCTAAGGAATTTGAAACTTTCTCTCTCTTTCAGTACTAATCTAAAGAGGAATCTTGTTTTGGCATCGCCCAGGTCCCTTTTGGCACGTCGACGGGTCACTTTTGGCACGTCGACGGGTCACTTTTGGCATGTCGACGGGTCACTTTTGGCCTGTCGACGGGCCGTTACTATTTTACTATTTGCTCTTTGCTATTTTCCAACCCGCAGCCCGTCCAATACTACTTTGAATAGGATTTCGCTACTTTTTCCCGTTTCCCTACTGCTTCCTAAGGAATTTGAAACTTTCCCTCTCTTTCAATACTACTCTAAACCGGAATCTTGTTTTGGCATCGCCCAAGTCACTTTTGGCACGTCGACGGGTCACTTTTGGCATGTCGACGGGCAGTTACTATTTTACCATTTACTATTTTACAGCCCGCAGCCCGTCCAATACTACTTTGAATAAAGGAATTCACCAATTTTTCCCTTTTCCCTACTGCCTCCTAAGGAATTGGAAACTTTCTCTCTCTTTCAATACCAATCTAAAGAGGAATCTTGTTTTGGCATCGCCCAGGTCCCTTTTGGCACGTCGACGGGTCACTTTTGGCACGTCGACGGGTCACTTTTGGCATGTCGACGGGTCACTTTTGGCATGTCGACGGGCCGTTACTATTTTACTATTTGCTCTTTGCTATTTTCCAGCCCGCAGCCCGTCCAATACTACTTTGAATAGGATTTCGCTACTTTTTCCCGTTTCCCTACTGCTTCCTAAGGAATTTGAAACTTTCCCTCTCTTTCAATACTACTCTAAACCGGAATCTTGTTTTGGCATCGCCCAGGTCACTTTTGGCACGTCGACGGGTCACTTTTGGCATGTCGACGGGCAGTTACTATTTTACCATTTACTATTTTACAGCCCGCAGCCCGTCCAATACTACTTTGAATAAAGGAATTCACCAATTTTTCCCTTTTCCTACTGCCTCCTAAGGAATTGGAAGGAATTGGAAACTTTCTCTCTCTTTCATTACCAATCTAAAGAGGAATCTTGTTTTGGCATCGCCCAGGTCACTTTTGGCACGTGGACGGGTCACTTTTGGCACGTCTACGATCACTTACTTTTTGGATGTCGAGGGCCTTTGCTATTTTACTATTTACTATTTTCCAGCCCGCAGCCCTTTCACCGCATTTTTCATTTCCCTACTATTTTGAAAGAATTTTGAAACTCTCTCTCTCTCTCTGTTTCAATACGAATCTAAAGAGGAATCTTGTTTTGGCATCGCCCAGGTCACTTTTGGCACGTCGACGGGTCACTTTTGGCACGTCGACGGGTCACTTTTGGCATGTCGACGGGTCACTTTTGGCCTGTCGACGGGCCGTTACTATTTTACTATTTGCTCTTTGCTATTTTCCAACCCGCAGCCCGTCCAATACTCCTTTGAAAAGGATTTCGCCAATTTTTCCCTGTTCCCTACTGCTTCCTCAAGAATTTGAAACTTTCTCTCTCTTTCAGTACTAATCTAAAGAGGAATCTTGTTTTGGCATCGGTCAGGTCACTTTTGGCACGTGGACGGTCGCTTTTGGCACGTCGACGGGTCACTTTTGGCCTGTCGACGCACAGTTACTATTTTACTATTTACTATTTTCCAGCCCGCAGCCCGTCCAATACTACTTTGGTTACAATTTCGCCAATTTTTCTCTTCTCCCTACTGCTTACTAAGGAATTTGAAACGGGCCGTTACTATTTTACTATTTACTATTTTCCAGCCCGCAGCCCGTCCAATACTACTTTGAATAAAGGAATTCACCAATTTTTCACTTTTCCCTACTGCTTCCTAAGGAATTGAAACTTTCTTCCTCTTTCAATACCAATCTAAAGAGGAATCTTGTTTTGGCATCGCCCAGGTCACTTTTGGCATTTCGACGGTTTACATTTGGCATGTCGACGGTCGTTTTGGCATGTCCACGGGATGGATCCCTCTTCAAACATGTTCGGGCTGCATGTGGAAAACGATGGAAAACCCTATGGATTTCTTGCCTGGAAACCATCATGATTCAATGGTGAACCGTGAACCTATTGCTGGAAACGATGGAAAACCCATGATGGGAACGTGGCTGAACCCATTAGAACCTAAGGATTGGGTGAATAATTATGGAAAATGATGGAGATGAACCATAAGCCTCCTGGAACAAAGCACTGCAGCACTCCGTACTAAAACGTGGAACACCTCGCATGACTCCACTTCTGCCGGTTGCTGCGCAATAATCTGCACCTGAATTGGGGTTTCCATAAATGGGGATATCCCAAAAGCTGGATCATTTATAATGGAAATGTCTATTGAAATGGATGATCTAGAGGTACCCCCAGCCATTAGGAAACCTGAAATTATATTGCACTATACTGGATCTTGTCCGGCCCGTCCTCTGCCGAGTCTGCCTCCGGGTATATTGAGCTATACTGGAGCTTATCCAGCCCGTCTTCTTCCGAGTCACTCCGAAGGAGTCTGTTACTGGGTATACCGTCAAAGAACCCGATCATATCCAGCCCGTCTTCTTCCGAGTCACTCCGAAGGACTCTGCGGCTACTCCGAAGGAGCCCGCTCCTCCTCCTCCTCCTGTCTCTTCGATCAAAAATTCTTCGGGCAAACTGCTCAATGGTAATTGACTCGTAAGGAATCTTTTCGGCCTCCAAGAACTGCACTTCTCCTGCTTGCGACCTCCCAAGACTGCCATCCTTTTTGGTGACAACCACGAGTTTGCACCGCCTGCCATGTGCTCTGAGAGTCTGTTCCTTCCACTGGCTGAACCAATGGCAGCCCCACTTCGCAATCTCCCCGTTATAAAGAAAGTGGCAACTACAGCGCTTTCCGCGTTGGATGTCATGAAGTCCATAGCCCGGCGTCTCTTCATCTGGGAGGAAAATGCAACTGCTGGCGAAAGGTGTGTGTTTTGAAGACGAAACCTGAGTCAGTTTTTTCCACCCATAGCCATGTACTCCCGGGAAACTCACAATGACTTGTTCACCTTCGCGGAAGTCTTCCGGCTCTGTTCCATAGAATGGAATTCGATCGGTCTGGCTTGCGCTTTCCTGGACAATCTTTGCAATCTCGGCATTGGAACTGGCTAAGGTATCTGCGTAGTACAGTTGAGCTGTAGACTTAGAAGTCCCACCGCCCATTGCGACACCAGGTGCGATGTGTCGCCGTACTACTTGCCTGAAACAGCCAAAACTACAGTAATACAATGTTTCTCTGCTCTGGACTCTGCTGCCACAAGTGGGTTCTCTGCTCGAAAGATGTATGCCCTAAGCTTCTAAGGCCCAACTCTGTTTCACAACTATAACCATGAAACATCTATCTACACCCTTCGATACAGCATACTCTGTTTGCCATCATGAACAACAACATGATACTACATAGAGATAGATTCCACCACGACAACAACAAACAACCAACAACCAACAACCAACAACCACAACAACAAAAAAAAAACAAAAGAAACATATTTCATACATGACGAAGGAAACCATGACAAATAAAATTACGGTGGAAAAAGATGAAAGAGACAAAGGTCAAAGTTATTGATGAAAATCACCAGAAATTCACAAGATGCTGAGGATAAACCAAACAAAAACGGTTTTAGAAGTAGCAGGTGAACTTGACAACAAAAAAACGCCCGAGAACGGACTCAAAAATTCATCAGAGACAATGTATTTAGGTAGGCAGAAGACCAACATAAAACCCAGAACACCGACCCGTTTTTTGGAGAAAGCATTGAAAATCAACAACCTTAGCAAGCAACATAGCAAACAATCCCTAGAACCACCTGTTTACCATTGTTTTCCCAGATTTGCTATGGTAAATACAAAAAATATACCATACATGGGTAAATCTCCATCAAGTCCCCAATATCCCAATTTGCTCCCCTCTTTTCACAGCAGGGCCCCCAACCAAGCCCCCCAACGCTCGTTGAACAGGACCATCCCAAGAAGTCCTGCCATGGGGATACTGGTTGCTTGATATGCGATATGTATTCCTAGTAGCCAAAAACCAAGTATATCAGCAGAAATATACCACGCATGTCACCCTTAACTTCCCATTGTACCCAAAAACCAACGTTTGCTGGGTAAAACTTTATCAAATCCCCATGGAATCTCAGCAAAAATCCATGGTAAAATCACCATCGTTTCTGATGGGCTGGGCCTCAGATCAGTGGAGAAGTCGAGTTATAGTGGGAATATCATGGGTTTTGATGTGGGAAACCTGCCATAAACCTAGCGGGGATGAGATTTACCACCTATGGTGATGACTTGGGCATTGTTTTTTCTTGGGTTTACCACATTAGTAGGATTTGATGTGATGTCATTGAAATATTTCATGTGTGTGTGTGTGTGGGTCGTTCGGGTGCTGGAAATTGACAGCCTTGACATCTGGTAGTCGTGATGATAGTGAACGTGTTTTTCCCATTGAAACTTTATCATAAATGGTGAACATGGTCATGATAGTGGTTATGAAAGTGATGTGCCGTTCTTAAATCAAAGGACAGGTGAAATTGGCATCAAAGGTACATGTTTCATCAATTTTCAGTAGGACCAGAAACTGAGACTTGATCATCCAGCGGTGTAGCATTTTATGACCCATGCACTTGGACCAGTTCTTGGACTGGAGGTAATCGAATGACAGCTTGACTCAGTGCATTTGTTGCGGCAAAAAAGAAACCATCCCAGGGACAGTAACAAGTGGGATGTTCTATCCCAGACTAAAAATTCAGTGATGCGCTGCTCCTTGCCCAGACAGCACAACAGGCGACGGAATATCACCAACAGTAAATGCAATGTTTTAATTTTTAAAGAACAACTTGTCTATTCCACCTCAACCCTCACAATCCCAAGCAGTAGGCCAAAAACAGTGCTCACCTCTGAACCAAGCAGGATGAGTGAAAGAGGTTCGGGTAATAAAGATATGTCCATGTGTGTCACTATGTGACTCTATCTGTCCCAAGGGTTGGAAATCCTACCAAACAAAAAACAAAAAAAGAATGATGATTTCATGAAATCAAATCTCAAGAGTTTGGTTGATGAGCTGTTCATCAAATAGTTTTAGAGCAATTAACCTTAGGTGACCACGTGCTGGGACCTCCACAATGTCAACTTCCAGGCTGTCTTCATAACCTCGGAATGGCAAAACTGGCATTGCTGTCAAGGGCAGTCGGGGTAAAGACTGTTGGGTGTCCCAAAATCACAGCTGACACAAATGCTGACAAAGATCTGCTGACTCAGAAGTGCTTGTTTTCACCTCTCATGATTGTAAAGTCTGTGCAGTCCGCACGGCTTCAAATGACCGGTACGGATGGTTTTGGAGGAGTATGCGAATCTTCACATTTGATGACAGCTGATTTTGCCTGAACGTGAGAGATGCATACCTTGTAAGGATTGGCATCTAGCATGCGCTCGCGCATGTTGTGATGCTTGATAAAATGTGGGTGGCAAGTAACTTTGGTCCAGGATGTGATCTTCGAACATGTTCGGGCTGCCTGTGGAAAATGATGGAAAACCCTATGGATTTCTTGCCTGGAAGCCATCATGATTCAATGGTGAACCTATTGTTGGAAAACGATGGAAAACCCATGATGGGAACGTGGGTGAACCCATTGGAACCTAAGGATTGGGTGAATATGGAAAAATGATGGAGATGAACCATAAGCCTCCTGAAACAAAGCACTGCAGCACTGGAACACCTCGCATGACTCCACTTCTGCCGGTTCCTGCGCAATAATCTGCACCTGAAGTGGTGTTTCCATAAATGGGGATACCCCAAAAGCTGGATGATTTATAATGGAAATTTCTATTGCAAAGGATAATCTAGAGGTACCCCCAGCCATTAGGAAACCTGAAATTATATTGCCCTATACTGGATCTTATCCAGCTTGTCTTCCGAGTCACTCCGAAGGACTCTGCGGCTACTCCGAAGGAGCCCGCTCCTCCTCCTCCTCATGTCTCTTCGATCAAAAATTCTTCGGGCAAACTGCTCAATGGTAATTGATTCGTAAGGAATCTCTTCGGCCCGCAAGAACTTCACTTCTCCTGCTTGCGACCTCCCAAGACTGCCATCTTTTTTGGTGACAACCACGAGTTTGCACCGCCTGCCATGTGCTCTGAGAGTCTGTTCCTTCCACTGGCTGAACCAACGGCAGCCCCACTTCGCAATCTCCTTGTTATAAAGAAAGTGGCAACTACAGTGCTTTCCGCGTTGGATGTCATGGAGTCCGTAGCCCGGCGTCTTTTCATCTGGGAGGAAAATGCAACTGCTGGCGAAAGGTGTGTGTTTTGAAGACGAAACCTGAGTCAGTTTTTTCCACCCATAGCCATGTACTCCCGGGAAACTCACAATGACTTGTTCACCTTCGCGGAAGTTTTCCGGCTCTGTTCCATAGAATGGAATTCGATCGGTCTGGTCTGCGCTTTCCTGGACAATCTTTGCAATCTCGGCATTGGAACTGGCTAAGGTATCCGCGTAGTAGAGTTGAGCTGTAGACTTAGAAGCCTCACAGCCCATTGCGACACCAGGTGCGATGTGTCGCCGAACTACTTGCCTGAAACAGCCAAAACTACAGTAATACAATGTTTCTCTGCTCTGGACTCTGCTGCCACAAGTGGGTTCTCTGCTCGAAAGATGTATGCCCTAAGCTTCTAAGGCCCAACTCTGTTTCACAACTATAACCATGAAACATCTATCTACAACCTTCGATACAGCATACTCTGTTTGCCATCATGAACAGCAACATGATACTACATAGAGATAGATTCCACCACGACAACAACAACAACAAAAACAAAAACAAACACAAAAACAAACCAAAACAAAAGAAACATACTTCATACATGACGAAGGAAACCATGACAAATCAAATTACGGTGGAAAAATATGAACGAGACAAAGGTCAAAATTATTGATGAAAATCACCAGAAATTCACAAGATGCTGAGGATAAACCAAACAAAAACGGTTTTAGAAGTAGCAGGTGAACTTGACAACAAAAAAACGCCCGAGAACGGACTCAAAAATTCACCAG